AGACACCTGTCTTTCAAACCAAGACAATAAATTTACATATTAATTCTGGGACTTGACATGGTATGTGTCATTTGTACAAAGTGCTGTAGGCTCAAACAAGAGGTCTTCAAGGAGCACGAGGAATTTTTTCTCCTATGGTGTAAGTAACAGTGTAGTATTAAAACTAGTGCTGTTAGGATTTAGAACCTGGCAGGTTTTCCTTCTTCATCCTATGACCAAGGACTTTAAAGATATACTGAATTTGGATAAGGAATAATATAAACACATTTTTTTTTTCCTCTAACTGCTTTAGATAATAGTATTGGGAGTGACAACTGTGTTTGGCATGAAATTATTCATGCCATGATGCTATTATTTCCACCCACCTTCTACTTAATGACCAGTTAAAAAAGTGATTTATCGATGCATGAACATGTGTAAACAGGTATGGGTACGGTTTTAGGGCTAGGGGAATAAAATCTTTATTTGGTAAATACACTCCAGTTTGGAATGCTAAATTAAGGCTTCTTGCACAGTTAACTGAATGTAAGCTTGAAATGCCATTGGGCAGAATGAGAAGCTCAAGGTAACTCTCCTGAATAAACCCCAAAATACTACTGTTTCTTTTCTAGTGTTATATGATTTTAAAATAAATAAATACATACATAAAAGCATGGCTTTGAAATTGGCATAGCTTTGTTGCAAGCCTAAGCTGACTGAAATGCTTTTTGGTTTTTTATGTAGGCACTGATAAAACTGTGGAAGCATGAATGTAAGTGTGTTATTGCTGATCGTTTCACAACCGCAGAAGATGTAAACTGGTTTGACGCAGCTGTGGCAAAACTCATTGAGGAGGAATTTGAAGAAACAAAAGCTTTGCTGGATCCTGAAATTGATGCATTCTTTGTTGACTTCTTAAGGGATGCACCTGAAAGAACTGGTAAAGATGGATTCTGATAACCATGGAGATGGCAAGAATAGGGAAGGGGATATGATAAGGTAGATGCTAACAGAACTATGTCTTAAAAATGCATAGTAAGTTTATGCATCCAGAGTGGCTGTACTGTCCAGTGACTCTGAAGGTAGTCTATGTTGCCATCTGTGACACATCTTTCTATTCATGGGATTTTTGAGTCTGTATTTATATCCAGGTTATCTGTATAGAAGAGCCTTGCTTCTCTTTCTTTTGATGTGGTAGATAGACAAAACTGCCAAATAGTGAGCATGACTGTATTATTCTAGTGTGATATGAATTACTTGAAATTGTCAGATTGCGATCCTAGGTAAAGGATAGCACTCTAGCTACCATCCCCTAGAAACCTGGTGAAAGAATACTGGCTCTGGTTTAATCCAGTACTTTTAAGGAAACACCCAGTACATGTTTTTGTAACAAATGAGTATTATTTCAAAATCTCCTGAATGCTAGTAAAACCTCTTGAATTATTCATGTGGCTTATAACAATGTGCGTGTTTTAAATAAAAACACTGCATCACTAACTTTGCTAAATCACCTGGGAATATTTGTTAGTTGATGCAAAAGAACAGAAAACCGTTGTTTGGGTTTTGGGGAAGGTCATTATTTAAACCATTGGATGATTCAGTCACCTGTATTCATGTCATTGTAGTGACAGATAGCGGAGGCAAGAAAAGGTTGGCATGAGTGGTCAAATGCCGTTTAAATCTCTTGGATAGTTGTTGTAGTCAAAAGACAGTGCCAAAACGAGAGTAAAGGATAGGAAATGTTTGGTTGGAAGGCATCAAATAGAAGTAGAAAGCAAATGTGTGAGAAAGTAGTCAAATACGTTCTTAAGTAACTTGCTAAACAGCAGCAATGTAGAGAGGACTGAAACATAAGTCAGAATACAGACTGAGAGAGTGAACATTGAATTTTAAAGTGAAAATTTGAATGCATATTATAAACTATTATATTGAACTGAAAAATAAATGCAAAAAGAAACATGTAATTCTCAGAATAACTTGTTTCTTGGTGACAGTTTAAATGTACCTGCCCTGTGATCTTCCTTTTAGCATGAAACTTCATCTAAACACAAAGTAGGAGGCCCTCATTTAGAAAGGGTATGGTTTGTCTTCAGTATGTTTGTCAGAGCCACGAGAACCCCTTCCTGTTTTGTCTTTAAGTGAAAAGAATAACAAGTGTAATTTTAATTTAAATGTCCCTTTAATAGAATTTAGTCTTGTCCATTATAATGAAAGTGTAAGAATAGGAACTGTATTTCTGAGCTCTTAAGTATATAAAAAAATACATCTGACATCAATTTCAAATAACCCTACGCTCAGGGTTAGTGATACGTTTACATATACTCCCTGTATCTCTGTGTTACACAGCCACAACGTATTTGTCCCTGAGATAAATACACAAAGACTTGAGATGAAGTAGCTCAAACATGAACTTTTAGGTCTTAGTTTCACAGAAATTGTTAGTGGTGCTAGTGTTCTGGAGACCCTCAAACTGTTCAAAGTTGTTTTTTATCAGTCAGTTTTGACATTGCTATTTAGTACTTGTGTTTCTGAATCTTGAGATGAGAGATTTAAGATAATATACCACACTAGCTGCCTCTGCAAATAATGTAAATATCTTCCCTTTCTTAGGTTTAGTACTTGATCATGCTGTCTTTTGGCATTAATAATAGGACCGCAGGTACAGAATTAAGCTGATATAATTCTCTTAAATGGTTTGAAACTGTAAAAACATCACTACAGTTGAACTCCTTGCTGTATTCCTTATTAGTTCTTTATCAGCAGATAAGATGTTTAAATGTCTCATTCAACACATAAGAAACTTATTTCGACGTGGAATACTCCTTCTGCTTAACCAATGTTTTTGTAGGTTAAAATAAGAAGTTGGTTAATTTAATTAGGTCTTAATCTAAAGGAGTGTTCGTATATGCAGAAACAATACAGAACTAGAGAATTCTGGAATTAAGGTGACTTCAGGCATACATAGAACGCAATATAAAAGACAGCTGAATGAGAATTAATCATCACTTTATTTTGAGAGGTTTGGTTCTGTGGTAAAAGGCAATTTCCTTAACCTGGTTTATATATATGTATATGTATGTATGTTTGGGTTATTTGGTTGTTTGGGTGGTTTTGTTCTTTTCCTTGGAAGCTACATGGTTATTGGACCACTGCTAATTTGTGAAAGCAAAATGTACAAGAAGGAAATGGAGAAAAAAAATAAAATGAGAAAAATATTACAGATACTATTCTAAATATAGTATCATTTGATTGCTTTTTTCCCACATTTACTTCCCTTTCCACTGACTTCCAGTGCTTTACTAAGCATTAAGGAAATACTTATTTTACTGGAATTACTTATTTAATCGATTTTTAATTCCCTCAGTTAGAGATAGTATTGTGAATAATATATTTATTTGGTAGGTAAGAGGAGGCTTAGCAAAACTGATCATTACTAATGACTGACCTATGGTAACTGGAAAAATATATCCTGCAGCATATAGATCATCAAATCTTGAAACGAATGAAGCTATCTGTATGTAAATAAGGGCAAAATTATACTGTGTCTGGTATTTGAGGAAAACCAAACCAAAACCCCCATGCTGTTTTCTTGCTGGCACTCTTTCAATTAAGTTTGTCGGTTATTTGTTGATGAAGTATGGGCTGGATGAGCAGTGAGGTGGGTTGAAAATTGACTGAATGGCTGAGCCAAGAGGGTGGTGGTCAATGGTACAAAGTCTAGTTGGAGGCCAGTAACTAGAGGTGTACCCCAGGGGTCAATACGGGGTCCAGTCGTCTTCAACATCTTCATTAGTGATCTGGATGATGGGGTAGAGCATACACTCGGCAAGTTCCCAGATGACACAAAACTGGGAGGATAGGTTGATATGCCAGAGGGTTGTGCTGCCATACAAAGGGACCTTGACAAGAACCTCATAAGGTTCAACAAAGGGAAGTGCAAAGCCCTGCACCTGAGGAGAAAGAAATCCTATGTACCAGTATATACTGGCAGCCAGCCGTCTGGAAAGCAGCTTTATAGAAAAGGTCCTGGGAATGCTGTTAGACAGCAAGTTGAACATGTCAGCAATGTGTCCTTGGAGGAAAAAAATTAGTGGTATCCTGGGCTGCATTAGAAGAAATCTTGTCAGTAGGTTGAGGGAGGGTATTCTTGCCCTCTGCTCAGCACTGGCGAGACTACACCCAGAGTGCTGTGTCCAGGTCTGGGCTCCCCAGTACAAGAAAGATATGGACATACTGGAGAGAGTCCAGCAAAGGGCCATAAAGATGACTAAAGGACTCTTCTATGAGGAAAGGCTGAGACAGCTGGGACTGTTCAGCCTGGAGAAGAGAAGACTCAGGGAGATCTCCTCAAGATGTAGAAGTACTTGAAGGGAGGGTACGAAGATGATGGAGCTGGGCTCTTTCCAGTGGTGTCCAGTGACAGGACCAGAGACAGTGGACACAAACTGAAACACAGGAGATTCCCTCTGAACATCAGGAAACACTTTTTTACTGTGAGGGTGACCAAGCACTTGCACAGGTTGCCCACAGAAGTTGTGAAGTGTGCCTCCTTGAAGATATTCATAGACCGTCCGGACATTGTCTTAGAGAACTGGCTTTACATGGCCCTGCTTGAGCACAGGGTTGGACCAGATGACCTCCAGAGGTCTCTGCCAACCTCAAACTTCCTGTGATTTTATTTGCTGTGAGTGACAATTCTTACTAATGAAGGCATGTCACATTTAAGCATGATTAATGCTTATGAATGGAAAGATGAGACAGCAGCACTAATTCCTCCTTTCTTTTGGATGGGGAAGAGTTGACAATACCTTGTGGCTTTCAGATCACTTGATGAAACAACTGTATGCCTTTTCACAGTGAATATACTTTTTTTATCGTTGTGGTAATGATTCATTTTTAGTAATTTTTTTTCACTAGTGCAATGTTTTAATCAACTTAGACTGTTTTTCTTTTACAAAAAAGATTATTTGCAATTTTTAACTGCAGTATTTGTCTTAATTCTCTGGTGCTAATTTTGCTTCTAGCATCTAAGTTAATTTCAGTTTTTCATCATTCAAGTTTGAGATGTAGAGAAGGAAGGCTCCTTAGTTTTTGCTGGTTTCGTCTTTGAGAATTCAGCTGAACTTACCGTTCCTTGTAGGCAGGGTATAGGCAGCACTCTCATATGTGCATCTAGTATGTAATATTATACATAATAAACTGTTTCTAGGTGGTTAAAGAGATTTCTATTACCTTCATGTACTCCTCCCCACATTGGGGCTTTGCCAATCATTTAAACTGCTAAGGTTTTGTTACTTGCTTTTTGTTCTAGGTGAAAAAGCAGAGGAAGTTAATTTAGATATTCCCAAGATCTATGAGCCAATTTACTCCTTCGATCAGCTACGGAATCGTTTAAATAGGTTTTTACAAAAATACAATGAGAACATCCGTGGTACTGGAATGGACATGGTTTTCTTTGATGATGCTATGATTCATTTAGTTAAGGTACAGTCTTACCAGATTGCTATTTGTTGTTGTTCACTTGCCCTCAGCTCCTATGAGCGAGAGGTATGCATGGATCAAGGTAAATTACTTCTAAAACTGAAGCAAGTAATTTATTGCTAGCAAATATTTTGTCTGTCACTCTGTGACTAGGTATTAAAACTCAACTTTTCTGAAAATGCACTGGATGGAACTCTTCTTTTATATCTATCTTTATGTCTGGTGGAATCATGGTCCTAACTATTCTAACTCTATTTCAAATTTTCTTGTTAATTCTTCTGAGAGCCCTTCCTGTGCTTGGAATTAGTCAAATGAAATTCATGTTAGGACATAATTCATTGCTTATGAAGGAGTAGGCACAACAAAGTAGGAATAAATGTAGTCCGAACTTCCTTTGTAGATCTACATTATGCTCACTTCCTTTAAAATTCCTTTGAATATGCACTGGAACTGACCATAATTTTTAGCACAGCATAGCTTGATAAGATTGTGCACACAGAATAGATTTCATACAAAGGAGAAGGTGTTTTTCTGTGTGTTTTTTTTTTTTTTTTAAAAAAAACAAACTAAACCGCTTATTGTTTCTCAGTTGCACAGTGAAATTATCTGTATTTCTTATCATAAATTATTAAGAACTCACTATTGGATTGTTTCATCCTAACAAATAATATAATAAATTTAAAACCAGTTTAAATTTAGTTATATTTGACAAACACATTGTATCTGCAGTTTTCAAAATTTTGGGGTGGATGCTTGTCATTTCACAAAATTAGTCCCTTTCTTTTAAGGTCTTCCCTGCAAAATGGATGAAATTCTGCTATGGATTTCTTTAGAAAAATAGTTAAATCATCATCGCAGTCACTAACAAATTACTGGTTTATTTCTAGTAAAAAAAACCCCAAACTATCTAAATTTGGGATCTTGCAAAAAACCCCCTTTTTTTTTTCACTGTAGAGCCACCTGTTGTCAGGAATCTCTTCTTTGGGTAGCTAGATGGTAAATACCTGAAATGTTATCTTAACTTTCACTTGGATAAACTGAAAATATAGTGCATCTCTGATCCCATGTTCTTGAAAGCAGCATTTACAGCTGTGCGAGTCTGAGCTTTATGCGTTAGCTAGACTTGAGGCGGCAGCTTCCAAGTGAAAGCTAGGTAAGCACAGTTAAGGTAATCCCTAATCTGATCTGACGTAGTATGACTTGAATGAGTTAAAGCTGAGGAGTATCTTAAAGAGAACAAAGCTTCCAATTTACAGCTTGTGTGCCTCTGCCTGGAGAAGATCTAGTAGCCATAATTGAAGTGATCAACAATATTCCAAGGGTGGTGTGCAAATCTATTTTTTTTTCCTCTGATTGAATACTAAGTATGCTTAGATTAAACCTTCATACTTGATTTTGGTTTTGTTTATAAAACATTAACCTACAAAAAATAAGAAGTACATTGCACTCAATAAATAAAATACGTGGGCTTAAAACTGCAGGAAATTGACATAACTATTTTTAATAACTTGAAAAAAAGTATGTTAGAGGAAAGGCAAGTAAATAGGTATCCCAAGCTGCTTATTGGAATGACAGAATCCTAGGGGCATCAGAGGGTTTCTCAAGGTAATAACAGGAGCCAATACTCTGCATCATTGCTTGTGCAGAGGAGACTAGCTGCTAACAGCTGATTGTATTCACTTCTTTGAGAGGCAAGTGGCTCCATGCTGTTCTGGAAATTAATGTAGGCTCTTCTGTATACTATGAATATCTGTCCACATGCAACTGATGGGGTGTTGGGCAAGTTTGCCTCCTGTGCTTAAAGGTGTATTTTCTCAGTGTCAGGTAACATCTTCTACCTGTTTCCAGATTTCCTGGGATTGTTTTTTGGCTGTGGACAGTGGGACAGGTGCTGCATGCAGTTCAGAGTTAGTGCTGAAAATTTTTTTGCTCTGAATTACAAGGGTCTGTTTGTTTACATTGCACTGTCCTGAATTGAAATGTGGAGTAGTAGGTAACTACCGCCTTTTGCGGTAAAAGGTAACTAATGAAATGAGAAAGAAAGGGAGATCTACCTGGGAGATGTTCCACTGTGACCAAATAGTTGTACTGATATTATGCATTTTTATAATCAAGTAAACTAGAAGCTCAACAAGTTTGATTATAAAGGCAGTATTATAACCTACTGCAGAGAATAGTGGAGACCGTTTGTCCTGAATTTTACATGCCTGGGACAACTTGTCTTTCTGGTCATGATGAAGGGGCCTGGAGAGATGAGTCTTACTAAAGTTCTCCAGATGTATGGTATTAGGGAAATTATTATTTCCTTCCCAGTTTTAATAATCTGTCATGCTATTATAGCACATGACTAACAAATCACAGCTTTGTGGAAGTGAGAGATGCAATTCCACTGATAACTGAAAATTCACAGTGATGGAATCAAGGGATTGCTATACTATTGGAAGGTTTATGGAAAGTATTGCAAAATGCAAATGTCCATAGAATATATTAATAGTAATATACTATCCCTTAATTAAGCCTTAAAATTTTCCTTTGTTCTGCATTTCTAATATAATATTATTACTGCAGTAGCATAGGATTTTTGAGTGTGTAAATTTTACACTTTGTAGCAATAAATGACTGTGATCTTCCACAGATTTCTCGGGTGATTTGTACTCCTCGTGGAAATGCCCTTTTAGTTGGAGTTGGTGGCTCAGGAAAGCAGAGCTTGACAAGACTGGCATCTTTCATAGCTGGCTATGATACGTTCCAGATAATGTTAACAAGGTGAGCATTAATTAAAATTTAAGCAAATAAGTACTTTGTGTTTGACCTCTTTCTATAAACAAAACAGGCTCCCAGTCTCTGCAGTGGGAGAAGGAACAAGCTTAACATAGGCTAAGCACTGTCGCCTGGAGTGGAAAGACATGGAAATCCTTTGAGACTCATTAAATTTGCTTGATTTTCTACAATAAGTCTGAGCTTTTACCATCTTTGGAGTAGTAAACTGTTTCCTGTGTTTCACAGAACGAGAAGAAATATTGGCAGTGTCGAGTTATCTTTATCTTTATACAGTACACTAAACTGTACTGAAAGTATTTGTAGGTAGTATATATCCATAATGCCTTTATGAGTTTATCTTGTAATATTTGGAATAATGCCTGTGTGAGGAATCCTCATCCCTGCCCATTAATTTGTTAGTTTTTATGTATGCGTCAGTACTTTGACAGTATTTTACAAGTATAACTTGCCTTATTTCATGTTGTTCAACTCAATGTGGCTTCTTTTGGAATAACTCACAAAAGTTATTAAAAAACCACTATAAATCCTTCTCTGAATACTTTAGAATGAGTGCCTCCCAGAGTGTCTGTAGGACAAGTCAATAGTCAGGAAATACTTTTGTCACTTAAATAAGATGCCATTGTAGAAAAGCTAAATTATTTTAATTCTTTTGCAACTGTGTTGGGTGCAGAAGAAATTGAGGATTTGTGTGTGGGAACGCCTCTTGGTGAGAATCTCATCCGAGAATCTATCTGAAGTAGGAATGACTTTAGGTGAGATTACAGTACAGTTGACAAAACAAGCAGTAACTAATTGCTGGATATCATTCACAAAGAATTATGTAGCCACTAAAGGGTGAAATACTAAATTCAAGTGGTGTGCAGCTTCCCACATAAAATTGCCTTGGTACCTGAGGATCACAAGAAGGCCTGTATAAAGCCCATGTAAAAAAGAGTCCAGAAAAGATCTGGAGAAACTTTACACCTAAAGTCTTGTAAACCTGACTTGTGTATCAGATGAATTAGAGAAACTAGCATGAAGAATAGCCTGAGTGAAGATATGAATAAACACATTTTTAGGAAAGATTCATCAAAGATTCTGATAAAACACAATCCTACCTGTAACGGGTCTGCGTGGCAAGGTTT